CTCTTCGTGGCGTAATGTATATGAATGTACATACATACGATTGTGTCAACTGTGTATAACGAGCTTGTCTTGTGAGTTGTAACGAGTGACGAATAATAACAATAAACGCTTCGTTGTCGGTATGAGACTTTACGTTTCTCGTGGTCTTGCGCGTTCTCAAATTTGGAGTGCATAGGAATGACACGAAAGTGTTTCTCGCATTTCTGACATCCTAATAATTTTTCGTTCTATATAATACATATCTTTCTATTTACTATTTATATATTGAATTGTCGGCATGTCGGTGCTTCACGTGGAAACTAAAGGGAAAACTGAAGAAAAGCAGCATAAAAGGTCTTTTATATATATCTCATCATATATTCTCTCTCTCCCCTCCTCTTCTCCCTCCTTCCCACCACGTTCAACATCATATGCATATATATGTATATATATATATAAGCTATATTTAACATTAATATTAATAATGACATATAACAACATTTTTTTCTCACATATATATAATTAATTCTGCAATTTTAATATATAATATTAAACTCTTCTATATTTTTTTTCTCTTTTCCTCCTTTTTTCTCTCCGCGTTTAATATGAAATGTGAAATTATATCAATTTTATGATAAACAGATCTTATAAAATCACTGATGAATGTCCTTAATATCAAATTATTACATTTTGCAGTCTTATCAAGAATAGATGTCCTTTTAGATGAATAGTTTTTTTTTTATAAAACTACTAATTAATCTTACATTTGTATAATACACGTATACTTGTTTTTTTATTTTAAGTGTGGAAGAATTGTATAAATAAAGGAATAAAGTATAGTTTTTTTTTTTAGCGACACAGAAAAGTTCTGTGCCACTACGGCAAAGGTAGAGATCTCATCAGAAATGGACAAAAACATAGATTTGGAGAGCCCTCAGAGTAGAAAACACAAATTGTCACCTGATCGCGAATATGTATCCAAAGTAGCCAAGCATGATATTGACGAAGATGCTGTATCTGCTGTGAGTTTTTTGAATGTTCATTTATGCTATGAATGTTATGAATGCTAAAAATACTATTATCTTTCTTATTACAGAGTGCAAGTGTTCCTTCAGATTTGACAACATCTGGAAGTAATGAAAAAAGCAGCGATAAATCTAATATAGATAAAATTGTTGATAATACAGCTTTAGTAGCTGATCATTACAACTTGTTGGAGGAAAAGGGACTATCATACAGAAATCAAAGTCGCATTGTGTACATGAGAAATTTTAACAACTGGATTAAAAGCATGCTTATACGTAAGTATTAATCTTTAATTGTTAATTCAATAATATTAAATCACTTTTAATAATAAAAGCGTAACCAATATGTAAGCCTAAACACAATTGTTATTACATAATTACAATTGTGAATATTGAAATTAAAAATCCATTTTGATCTCTTTTAAATGTCTCAAGAAATACTAAACTTAACTTGTTATTGGTTATTATTTAAATTATATTAAATTATATCTGCTCTCTATGATCTAAATTTGTCAATCTTTTGGTATTTTATCAACTAATATTAAGCTAATGTTATATGCTTGTGCTATACAATAAACTTATTGTTACATTATTTATCACAGATGAATATGTAGTTAAGTTGAGACAAGGTAAGAGTTTCGGTGCTTCGCTAAGAGTGTTGGATATGTGCTGTGGGAAGGGGGGAGATCTTCTCAAATGGAAAAAGGCTAACATCTCGCATCTGATCTGCACGGATATAGCGCAAGTATCATTGGAACAGTGTCAACAACGGTACAATGACATGGTAAATAGGAAAGGTTCTAAAGATAGAGGTTTCGCTCCCATTTTTACCGCAGAATTTATAACGGCTGATTGTACAAAGGTAGAAGATATATATTTTCATCTTAAATCATTCAATTTGCAATTTTATCTAGCAAGAAATGCACTTGTCAATGGAATTTGGTTAATCAGGATTGTTGCAGGTTCGTTTGAGAGAAAAGTTTGCGGATCCCAGTATGCAGCTGGACTTTGTCAGTTGCCAATTTGCGTTTCACTACAGCTTTGAGTCCCTATCGCAAGCGGAATGCATGCTTCGGAACGCTGGCGAGAGTCTTAAACCTGGTGGCTATTTTATCGGAACCATTCCAGATGCATATGATCTAGTGTATGTTTTTCTCTTCCCTCTTTTTTTCCTTTATAAACATCTATTTCTATTGCTATTATTACTATTTTATTTTATTTTTCCTTTTTTCTTAAATACATATCAAAATATAAAATATATTGTTAATTATAATGAAATTACAATTATAAATAATTACAATAAAATGTAATTTAATATCATCAAATTTCTTTTAGACCAAATTATATATTATACAATCTTATAATTTTGAATTTAATTTCCACACACAAAGTCTTTTAATCTTTTCTCTACTAAAGAATGTATATTCAATTGCACATATATATTTTTTTTTTGTATATGAAAGATAACACATTTTTTACATGCAAAAAAGAAACATACGCTCATATATTTTTCTTTTTTGTAATATAGTTCTAGATGGCAAAAATGCGATGGTAATAAATTCGGCAACGATGTATATAGCGTTGAATTTATATGCGAGGACAAGACGAGGCCGCCATTTTTTGGCGCCAAATATAATTTCCACCTGGACGGCGTAGTTGATTGTCCAGAGTTCCTGGTACACCTACCCACTCTGTGCAAATTGGCTTCAAAATACGGTCTCGAGTTAATGGCGTTTGAAAGGTGAGAGAGAGAGAGACAGAGACAGAGACAGAGACAGAGAGAGAGAGACAGAGACAGAGAGAGAGAGAGAGAGAGAGAGAGAGAGAGAGAGAGAGAGAGAGAGAGAGAGAGAGAGAGAGAACGAGACAGTATAAATATATCAATCACCCGTGTATATTAATAAACAATTATATCAAAAATCGACTTTTATTTTATTTTTTTTATAACTTATTCAAATCAATTCAAGTTTGTGTAAATATATATATTCATATTTAAAAATGGATTAATGCAATTTTCGGTTTAAATTAATATATTAAATCTTTTTTTTTCTTTTTTCAGATTCGACGAGTATTATGAACGTTTCAAAGACGAGGGCAGATCCCTTTTAGGGAATATGCAGGCATTGGAAACTTATCCGCCATATCACGAAGCACCTTTGCTCGGCGACCCAGAGCAAGACTATCAACACGCTGTTCGATACATGCAGAACCTGCCTGCCAATCATCGTAAAATCGGCACTCTCTCGCAATCGGAATGGGAAGTCACTTGTTAGTATAAAAATTACAAAATTAAAAATGATAAAAATAAGAAAAAAAACAAAATTTCGATCAATTCGACTTTAAGATTTTTCAACAAAAATATCTTTTCTTTTTTTTACAGCATTATATGCAATCTTTGCGTTTCGAAAAATGAAGACCGTCTGGAATAGCGAGGGAAAACCAGAGTATGTAAAGTTGTAAAGCGTCAAAGTTTTACATAGACTGCAGCGATAAAAGAACGATTTTATCGATTGATACTGATTTTTTATATTACAAGAAAAAACTTTGTTACTATAGATGGCTTACTATACGACATCATCCGTGTGATACTTGTAAAACGGTAGTTGCGTTTGATAGAGACGGACAATCGTGTAAAAATCTCGTTAAAACATTAGAAATTAAATCATTGAAACAACAAAAACAAATTTTTTTTATTTATATTAAAATTCGATTCTTTCGAGAGAAATGCAGGAAATTTTTTAGTATTACACGAATGACTTATAATAATAAATACAATTCGAAATATATTCTCCCTCTTATATATAAAAAATATAATTATTTAAAATATATAATCTGTAAATATAATCTCTCTATAAAATTCTTAATATTTTTGTTCTGTAACATTAATTTTCTAAGCAAGCTTACACAATTATCAACTTGCGACGTGTCTCATATATTTCTATCTCTTTTATCAAACCATATCATATTATTTATATAGATTTAGTCATATTATCCATCTTATGTATCTTATTCACGCTATAAGGCCGGTATTCATAGTCCGTTCTTATATTCAAGATCGTCTTAAGTACGATCTTAAGATACTATGCGGCCATTTCATTGGTTGAATGGGATCTTAAGACGACCCAAGACCACACTTAAGACGATCTTGAATATAAGGGGGGGGAAGGAATCTTTTAATTCATATTTTTCAAAAATAACCGTTGTATAAGATTATCTGAATGTTTGTCTGAATTTTATATAGATGAAAAAGAAGAAAGATGGATACAATTTTTTCGCGCCAATATTTTGAAAATTATCGAATGTATGTATGTATGTACAATCGAATGCAACTTTAGGATCGATCTAACGTGAATCAATAGAAATGTTTATTTCGCGGCGAAACAAAGAATATCTCATATAAAATTATTCTAAAAAAATCAGTAGATTGAAAGAATTACACACAGAATAATTTTTAAATTATCGTACTTGCATATTCTTTCATTTCAAAATCTTACAGTGTGAGATTGAGAACAATATTTTTATTTATTTCTAACGATATCGTTATCTTGGAAACTCACGACAATTAACCCTCTTTATGAGTATAAAATTTTTCATCCCCGGAAGAGTGCCTTTTTTTATTTTTTTCGGTCTTTTTGACGAGATTCGTTTCTACATAAGAAGGAAAGAAGAGAAGAGAGAAAGAAGTCTGTGGATCAAGAAATGAATCGGTAATCGAAATCAATATAATTTCGTTAAATGTCATTAGAGAGATGTGGATAATGATTCGTCGAATGCGCGAATTAGATGGCGCAAGATTTTTTTTCCGCACGTGTTCGTCGTCCGTCGTGGAAAATTGTAAATTAAACTCGTCCACGAGACACAAGACTACACCGGTTTTTTCAATCGGCTTCGCGTCTGTTCGCGTCGCAGGTCGCAGTCGCGATGAATGACTTTCGTCGGGTCAGGCTAGATCGGGCGAAGCGAATCGCTTCAAGCGATCGTTGGGTTCGGTTCTTTGGAAATTAAAGAGGCGGGGCGAGCGGACGCATGCGCAATCGTGCGTTTCTGGCACTTAGACTGGGTGCGCGGCGTTCCGTGCGCGCCGCGCACAGAGATATGCAGATGCAGAGATAGTCGCTCGTGGTCGTGGTCGCTCGGCAGACGTGCAACGGAACGGGCTAGTTGTGGCGCAGAATGCATAAGTAAACTTTTCTCTTTCATTCTTTCTCTCTGTCTTTCTCTCTCTTTCTCTCTTTCGGCCGCAGTTTCGCGCTTTTGCGACGGGGCGGCATATAGGCGCCATATAGACTATAGACTATAGACGACTACTTACGCACGGTTGGAGCTGTGTGCGTGTCCAGTTCTCTTGGCTTCTTGTCCCTCTGCTGCCGACAGCGCTGCTACCTCTCGCCCGCGTTGGCCTGCACAGTCCATCACACCGCGTATACACTGTTCGTCTCGAGAAATGGAGCTCGAGCAGGCGGCTCCACAGATGAACGCGGATCCGGTAAGTGTACATTTCGCATACGTATTAACCGCCGCGATCCCGTACGTGCACGTTTTCGCGATATACGGTCATGGGAGCGGTCTCGCCTCTTGGTCACGACACGATCGTGCCGACGCGAAATTTTTCTAAGTCCCAAAATGGCGTCTGCGACTAAGTCCTGTACCGTGGCGCGAGTGCTCGAGGAAATCAAGATGCTCCCGACTCCGACTCCTGCGACTCGGCCGCAGACGCTAAATCTATAATCGACGCGCGAATCTCTGTGGTTTCTTTCAAGTTTTCATCTTCAATTCGGGCTCGTCTGTTTCAGGAAAAGAAGGTCAAGGAGAGCGGCGGCGGCGGCGGCGACGTCGTCTCCGGGAATCATAGCGGTGAGTTCAACTTTAACTTCTTTTCTTTTTGGCCGTGTTTAAAGACAGACGCGGATAAACGATCGGATGATGATACGCGAACGTCAAATCTGCGGAATCGACGAGCGCTTCGTGACTACCTAATCGAACACTGCGGATCGACAGTCGACACACTCGACACGTGTCTCGTCTTTCAGCGGCTGACAAGCGCCGAATGACAGAATTTGCGATTTATATGTACGCGAACTGGTTTTATACTTTCTTCAATTCAGCGTCACTACAAAAATTATATATAAAAGTCTTAGACGCGATAAAATCTCGATGACGAAAATTTACCTTCTCTCTCCGAAAATGCAGATTTTTCATTGATAAAGTGCGATACAAGATGTCGTATTTATATTTGTGGACCGATATAAAATTATCCCCCAAACACGCGCGTGCGTTTCCACACATGTACATACGTACATGTGTACGGATGTACAGAATGCATACAAATGCTTGAATCATTCGCGATAACAGATTTGAACAAGAGCGCGCGCATTTCAAACTGTATTTTTTGGCGAGATTTGTGATGCATTTTGTATAAAAGGTTTGCTAAAATTAATTGAATGCGCGTAGAGCTCTTTTCTCAGTATTTGGCGTTTTTAAAATTTAAATGAATGCCTATTTCAGTTTATCATCTTTTGTTGCATTTTTTTTTGCAGAGAAATCGATGCCCATCTTATTTATATCTTTTATAATAAATTGTTGTTTTTTAAATTAATCTGTTTTTATGCTGTAAAATTTTGCATTTGTATTATTTAATTTTCCTAGATCATATCAATGGCATGTCCAATGGTTTTGATAAGAAAAGGGAACACAAGTCCGAGCATAGAGATAAAGACAAAGAGCGATCTCACAAATCGGATCACAGGGACAAAGATAGGAGCAAGGAGAAGGAGAAGAATCACAAGAGCGAACATAGGGATAAGGATAAGGACAGGCATAGACATAGCTCCAGTTCTGTCAAGGATAAGGAGAAACATGATAGCAGCGGTAATAAGGATAAAGACAAAGATAAAAAGAGCTCTTCTAATAAGGATAAGGAGCATAAGAGTAGCAGTTTGTCTAACAAAGATAAAGACAAGAGCAAGGAACATCATCATAAATCGAGTTCGAGTTCTAAGAACAAAGACAGGTAAAATAAAAGAAATTAAAATAAATTGTCCTGAGATAATTAATATCGTACGACACACATTTGATTAGAGTTGCTAAATATTTCTTTCAAACAATTGTTTCTTTCAGATATCACAACAGTTCCAAGGACAAGGACTCAAAGAGCAAAGATAAAGATAAGTACAGACACAATAGTTCCTTAAATTCTAGTTCGCGCGACAAAGACAAGGATCGAAATCTCTCAAAGGACAAGGAGAGAGATAATAAAAAGCATTCATCCGAGAGAGACAAAGATAGACATTCCACTTCTCATTCTTCGGGCGATAAAGAGAAACATCGTTCGTCGGAGAAAGACAAAGACAAGCATAGAGAAAGCTCGTCCGGCAGCAAGGATAAGCAGCATCGCCATGAAAAAGATAAAGATCGCCACCGACACGATAAAGATAAATGTAAGGAGTAATAAGAAAAGAAATACATCTGCATAAATATCCAATTTGACTCTCTTTAATTGCTCGCATTCGAATTACAGCTAAACATCGTGACGAAAAGGAAAAAAGGGACAAAGATAAGGAAGATATTAAAATAAAGGAAGAAACGGATGTGAAGTTGAATCATGCGACCAACGAAAGGTTTCATTATAATCTGGAAGTCAAGCCAGAGATAAAAGAAGTAAGATTTTGTTTGCAATTCGTGGATGTTTTCGAGAAGATAAAGAAAATTTTTTTCCTTAGGAACCTATGACGCAACTAGAACTAGAGGACGATGATGACAGCGGTGGTGAGCGACCGCTCTATATCAAAGAGGAGGACGATGACGAGGAAGTCGTCAAGGAAGACGCTAGTATGGATTCGACGGACGGAAACGATACCAGACTATCAGATCTTCATAACACGACCTTAAAGACGGAAGAGGACTCGGAAGAAGATAAACCATTAGTAAATTTCGCTTTAATCATATTAATTGCGAAGAAAAAGAAAATAGTTTGGACACATTATTTATTATCGTTTATTTTTTAATATTTTCTCTATCAGAGTATAAATATTTTATAAATATATTATCACATCTTTGTATAAATTATTTTTTTTCGTAATTTTAATGTATTGTAATTTAATCTTTTAATTCAATTAAATATATATCGCACGATGCAGTTTTCGAGGTCGAAAGTGTCGCCGAGTAGAGTAAAGAGGAAGGTCGAGTCGGACGAAGAGGAAGACTTACCATTGTCGGCGCGTAAGAAACCTAAAAAAGTGACTAGCTCAAAGACCAAGAAGAAAAAACGAAAACACGACGGGGAGAACGACGATTCTGAAGCAGAGTCTGAAGAGGTATAGATTATAAAAATTTCTTCGGTTTCATGTCTTTTATAAATCAACTTTGAAAAAGCAAACGTAAACTATGAAATGCACTTAATAGCATATTTGTTACAGAAATCAAAGAAAAAGTATGCAAAGGCGAAAGGAGAAAGCATCAGTCCGAGAAAAAAGAAGCAAGAAGAGGAGCAAGAAGTTTGGAAATGGTATGAACATTCGAAATTAGGTGCTTTCTCCGCTTGACACGAAAAATGGCGTCAAACGGAGTGCATTCATAATTACAAGTTTTGTGAAATATCGGTCACACTTTTGACTGCTGTCTTCTAGGTTGTGTGCACTCCAAAATCTATTCTTTGGGGCATAGAGAAGCGTTTGATTGTGATCAATCGGAGTAAAGAAAGTTTTACTTCCTTTGTCCTACAGTGCGTTCGAAGATCCTACACTAGCCAACGAGTAGCGTAGAATTAAATTGATCAATCAAGACGACGAAATTCTTATTCCTTTTGTCTTGATTGATCAATTTAACGCTACTTTATCCACGCCATTTTATTCAGAGTAGGATTTCCGAACGCATCCCTGACTTGGATCATGCATTTTATGCAGTTATGTGTAACTAAATTCTTATTTTGATTTATCTTTATAATCTAAGAGATCAAATTCAGAATTCAGATTGGACTGCGCGCACGCGTTCGATGTAAGGCCATTGATATCCAATAAGATGGATGTCTGTTCTCTAGGGACAAAAGTGTTGTCGGAATTGGAGTTTCTAGATATCGGATGTTGCATGTCGCGCCATAACCTATATTTCTGCACCCGACATTTTTTTACCCGGTCTGTATGTCGTGTGTTAATCTTCCTTCATAAAAGATGCGAGTGATAGTAGAATATAATGAGGAGCTCTATAAAAAATATAACTTATTTCTTTACGAAATGCAATGCTAAAAGCAGCTTTAGTTGTAGCTACAAGACAAGAAAATATCAGGCACTTGTGAGGTTAATATTAATTTGTGTGTAGTTTTAATGTGTGTAGTTTCAATATGTTTTTATCCTTTACATGTATAAAACAATATCCATCTTGCATCATAACAATCTCTTCACATTTACTCATTTAGGAGTAATTTAACGTTGGAATGCTTTCTTCCCAGGTGGGAAGAGGAGAAGAAAAGCGACGGCACAAAATGGCATTTCTTGGAGCACAAGGGACCAGTGTTTGCACCATCCTATGAACCATTGCCACCCATAGTAAAGTTTTATTATAATGGCAAAGAGATGAAGCTGAGTCAGGATACAGAGGAAGTCGCAACTTTCTATGCACGCATGCTGGATCATGACTACACAACCAAGGATGCGTTCAACAATAACTTCTTTCATGATTGGCGGGAGGTGATGACTGAATCGGAACGCGCCAAAATCACCGATCTATCCAAATGTAACTTTAAAGAGATGCACGCATATTTCTTGCAAAAAAGCGAGGAACGCAAGGCCATGACAAAAGAGGAGAAGCATAAGATTAAAGAAAAGAATGAGGAAATCCAGAAGGAATATGGCTTCTGCATCATCGATGGTCACAAGGAGAAAATCGGTAATTTCAAGATTGAACCGCCCGGCTTGTTCAGAGGTCGCGGCGAGCATCCCAAGATGGGCAAGCTAAAGAAGCGAGTATTGCCGGAGGATGTGCTCATCAATTGTTCAAAAGACTCAAATATACCGAAACCGCCAGCCGGCCACAAATGGAAAGAAGTGCGACACGATCCCAACGTCACGTGGCTTGCGTCCTGGACGGAGAATATTCAGGGTCAAGTAAAATATGTGATGCTGAATCCGTCCAGCAAACTTAAGGGCGAAAAGGACTGGCAAAAGTATGAAACGGCGCGGAAACTGGCGCAGTCGATCGACAAGATTCGTGCGGAATATCGGGAGGATTGGAAGAGCAAAGAGATGCGTATCAGGCAGCGCGCCGTCGCCCTGTACTTTATTGACAAGCTGGCGCTCAGAGCCGGTAACGAGAAGGATGAAGATCAGGCGGACACCGTGGGCTGTTGCTCATTGCGAGTGGAGCACATCAAGTTGCATGAGCAGAGGGATGGCAAAGAATACGTAGTTGTGTTTGATTTCTTAGGTAAATTCTCTCTTCAAGGATCTCTCGAAATTATTATGCACATATATAATTAACATAATCATATCTTTTAATATTGCATATTATAAGAGAGGCAGTTTTACACACACACACACATACACAATGTACGCACGCGCGCGCAGAATTTCAATTTCAGTAATCTACTTTACGAATTTATAATCAATTCTTCAATTTTTTAAATACCAAAAATGCCAAAAATGTTGACAGTTTAATCGCAAGCAATAAAAAATTGACTTTTCATATATTAAACCTTTTTAACTACTATGTATTTCGTACAGGATATATAGTATATATATTGTGCAAAAAGGGCATTATTATATTTTATATTTTATTTATAATATTGGATTATGTAAAACATTATAAGCTTATATATTTTTTGTATTTTATTATATCGTTTTTTTTTTTTTTGTTTTCATGTAATGTTTACGAAAATAATTTTACAGGTAAAGATTCTATACGATATTACAACGAAGTGCCCGTGGAAAAACGCGTCTTTAAGAATTTGCAACTCTTCATGGAAAATAAATCACCAGGGGACGATCTTTTTGATCGTCTCAATACTACTGTGATGAATAAACACTTGAATGAGCTAATGGAAGGTCTCACCGCCAAAGTGTTCAGAACTTACAATGCGTCATGGACCTTGCAACAGCAACTTGACAAACTGACTGACCCGAACGACACTGAGGCGGAGAAGATTCTTTCGTATAATCGTGCTAATCGCGCCGTCGCGATACTATGTAATCATCAACGTTCCGTACCAAAAACGCATGCGAAATCCATGGAAAACCTCAAGGCAAAGATTGATGCGAAGAAAGAAGCGATAGCTGAGTGCGAATTGCAAGTGAAGGATGCCAAACGGGATGCTAAACACGGTTCGGTAAAGGAAAAAGTGTACGTCATTTTTCATTTATTATAATCTCTAGGCATCGTATTGTATGAAATACAAATCTCTACAAGCCATAACTTATACACGCGCACGCACGCGCGCCCACACACATGCTCACACACATACTATTGCAGTGTAATTGATAAACTTCATATTTTGTATAATTTAAGACTTCTATTCCCTTATTTACATCATTCCTGGATTATGACTGCAGTGAGGATACAGGAGTCTTAAAATCAGTTTTTTATAAACATTCTTTGCGTATATTTCATTCTTTTTATACAACACAGCTTGTGCATGTAGGTACAAATGTGTTCATTGCCTGAATTAATCGTCCGTTACGCTTTTACAGAACATATGAGAAGAAGAAAAAACAACTGGAAAGATTGAAGGAACAATTGACAAAGTTGGAAGTACAGGCGACAGACCGAGAAGAAAACAAAGAGATCGCGCTGGGTACCTCTAAGCTGAACTATCTTGATCCCAGAATTTCCGTTGCATGGTAAAAACATTTTATATTTTTATTTATTCGTTCAAAATTTATATTTAATAATTTTAATTTCATTATTTTACCTGCTCTATCATTTAATTTTACATTTCTAATTTTATACATTAAATTTTTTATTTTATTTCATTTATTGTATATTTCTTTATACATACATACATACATATTCCTGTTTATATATGTGTGTGTATGTATGTAATATGTATATATAAATGGGGTAAACTAATAACTTTTCTTATTCAATATCTTGATACTTGTTTTTCACTGTTTCATCTTTGTTTTTACATTTTATATTTTCTACGATTGTACGAATTTCTATGATACTCCAGGTGTAAGAAACATAATGTACCTATCGAGAAGATCTACAACAAAACTCAGAGGGACAAATTTCGATGGGCGATAGATATGGCAGGTCCCGATTATGTGTTTTAACCGTACGGGTCATCATTCACGTCGCCTGACGATCTACGAAAGGAGGACCCTCCCGTTGACAATGTATCTAGTGAATTTTATGTTGTAACGAGAAACCGGGGGACTTAAAAAAAAGAGAGAGAGAGAGAAAGAGAGTGTGTGTGTGTGTGTTTGTGTGTAGGTGTATGCGTGCGCGTGAGCTTGAATAATATAAAAAATTTTTTACATTTACGAAATATAAATGTGAGAAAGTGTGTTGCGAACATATTTTCTATAGGATGGTGTATGGCGCATTAAATCATGAGGAGCGAGAAGTGCGACTATATGCGGTATGCAAACTCGCCAATTTCGAGTCAATCGTACGCACTTATTTTGAAAAAATGTGTTCTAGCCATGTCCGGCTAGCTTGTTCGTCTATGTGCTAATTCGTGCATATGTACAGTACTCGGACGTAAAATCGATAAGAATAAACAAGAGGAAATCGCAAATAGATTTCAAGTGAAAGCATGCGCAAAGCTTTGATTTTATTTCGTTTAGATAGAAATTTATTCTGAGCGTGTATGAGATTAGGAAAGTAGCACTCCAAATATGTGCTAAAAAGCGTTTAAATTTATAGGCATGCATGCGTGTGCAGCAGCGTTTAATGCAGCTGCAAAAAGCGCGAAATAATTTAATGCATCCTGTGCTATCTTTGGCATGCCAGTGGAGTATGTATAACAAAATTTAGATGCGCTGCTGTACATATATAGGAAATATTCATGCGTATGAGACGGGGACACAACTTTAGTACGTATTAAGGAAAAAAAAGAAAACAATTATCGCGGAGGAGGCAGCTGATGAATTTTATATTCTCTTAAAGCGTACATACACGCGCATATACATACACATAATTGTTTCTTTCATAAATGTATGATAATGTCATTCATCAAATAGCACATTTACATTTTACAATACCGTGTATGACGACATTATATGTATGTAGGGTATATTCGATATTGTGCACATTTTTGATATAAATGGAAAAGCAGAAAATTAGCAAAGGATAGCAGATTTATGCGGGATCGAGATTCGTCCATCCTTCCGCTCCCCCTCTCCCCCTCCCCCAACCATGGATAGTATAAAATAGTGAAATTTATATTTAAGTGACTTATCGCCTTTAGCAATTTATGTTTTATAAGGTGATGTCTCTAAGCTATAAAATAAACGAGAAGTATATCGTATCCTTTAATTTCTTAGCGTTATTCGCATATCTCGCATCGACCTTGTGCAGAATCGAGCCGAAAGATACTAGCGCGCGCGTGCGTTAAACACACACACACATTTTATGCTTATTTGACGATTAACGATAAATATAATGTAGTATTTACCTTTTCATTCTAATAGCCGTATCATTTTGGCGCACGTGCTTAATACATATACATATATCTCTAGGAGAAATGGAAATATCTTTCTTTCATTTTTCTCACATTTTTGTATCGCGAACCAATCAAGTGTGGAAACATTCCACTTTGTATTATAAAAATCAGAGTCAGTGCCAGATTTATCAAATACAAAATTTTAAGGGCGGGAAATTTTCAAAATTTTTAAAAATAGAAGATAAAGACAAATATCTGTTTTTCTCTCTTATTACATGATTGGTTTTTAGAGAAAGAATAAAAATTATCCGTGTGTTAAATAATAATTTTTAATTTTTGTGTATGTCCTTTCAATTTGAATTTTCTTTATAATATCGCTCTAAATATGTGCTAAGTAAATGACAAATTAAAAAAAAATCGTCTTATTATAATAAATTATCATTATTATTCCGCTCAATTTGTATATAAAAAACACCGCTTGTTTTCGATCTATTGAAAATATGTAGAGAATCAATGCTTAAAGGAGTAAAACAAAAAACACGGATTGCGCTATATTGATTATTTATTAGTTGCAGAATGTAAAGTGTTCTAACAAATTCACGTTATGTGCGTGCATCGCAAATATAATTATTCGTAATCATACTCCATAACTCGAATGCCCACATATACGCGTATATATAGATGTATTTAAGAAAATTTGTAATGCTCTGAAAAAAGAGAGAATTACGCAATTAAAAGTTGCGTAAACATTAAAGAAAACGCTCGATATTAGAGACTATTTATCATTAATCTTTTCGACGCATAGTATCACTATATGTATAAAAAGAAAAAGAAAAAGCGTAACTCTTATTCGCTTATGTTATGTCTATATTATTTTGATTTCTTATATGCGGTATTTAGAAGTTTTGTTAGTTCATTTATCGCTCTCTAAAACACAAATCTGTTATTCATTATGTAATAAGCGCATATATATCGTTTATACACCGTGTTATTAGATAATGATTTACGCATCTGCCACAGCGATGACAAATGATGTATTAATTACAAAAGGAAGATCTAATTATATATATATATATATATATATATGTTCTAGCTAAATCACATAAGTGTAAGATTGATTTTAGACTGGACTACAAAGTATTGTTATAATAAGGTTTTTTCACGAATAACAAGACCGTTCGCGCAATTACTCGCAATAATAGCAATGTAAATGTTGCGATGAAAGAAAAAGGAGGAAAGAAAGGGGAAAAATGCAATCGGCAAGCGCGAATCTTTATCGAGCACTATCAAGATTTGTAACTTTTACAAGAAGACTCGAATTATATAAGAGAGTGCAATGGAAATTTAGTACAATTCTCTAAGCTTGCAGAGTCGAAGTACATATATACTTAGTGCCGAGAGAATCGCGTAGATTTTATTATTACATATCTAGCTTATATGAAATATTTCTTTCTCTTAGAGGAAAAAGAAAAGGACAATTATTCTTGACCTTGTTAATTTATTATTATATAAACGACAAAGTATAATAATACAATACAGTACTATTATATTGCTGCGCAGTTAGTTAGAGATGATAGAAATAAATTGTGTGTGTGTGTATATTATACATATACATATATAATTTGAAGCAAATACAGTGTAAATCCGTATAATAAATTGTGTAAACACTTGAAAACGCGCGCGTATATGTGTTTTAAACATTGCGCAGTAAACTTGTACAATGCACGAGGACATCACGTCTCTTATTCGCGTGAACACTTATTAAAAGCTGATTAGTTAATAAATGTTAACAATATTATAGGGTAATAATCGCTTTGTATTTTTCTTTTTTAGATTCTTGAACAATATTAAATTCTTTCTTTGCTCATTTTTTACTTGATAAAAATATCAAACAAAAACATACTGCAAAAACTTTTTGTTGTTTAAAGTATAATGTTCGAACTAAAGCTGTGAAATAGAAATGTAAAATTGAATTCCGTACATATATAAGGAACCGTTCTCATAACATAACTACCACGTAATACATAATTCTGTTTAACATACAATTTTGTAATTAAAATGTGACATTGCGATGCAATATCTCACGCCAATGACGTAATAAAATAATTTATAAACGAGAAATATTAGTTGTACTACGATCAAACGATTCTCGTGTATATACTGCACATAGCACAAACACTTTTAATAGATATAAAATATAAATAACTTTCAGAATCTCTTTTTCTATTTTTTTTTTTTTTTGTTATTGTGTCACAATATAATAAATACGGAAATGGTAGTTTCTACATTCAGATATGTAGACTAGATTAACGCTAAATCACGATTCTCTCAATTTTATTTTCGTATAACGCGTTCGTTATACGCGAAATTGAAGTCCCTCCAAAAATCACAAAATTTGGAATCGCCATCCAAATTGCTATATATGTAATAATTGTATTACATATAAAGCATATAGTTGTTCTCATAGCAGATTCCACCATATCTTTTCTTCTAAAGTATGTATATATATCAAGTCTTTTACGATTACAATCTTTGTCAAGATTGAGACACATCTCCTCGATTCAATTAAACAAAAATAGCAAAATCATTGTAATCTTATTTATGAAGGATGTTCTCTGTTGAATGTACAATTCTAATTCTTTAGTCTAACAATACTAATCTTATCGCATCTATGCGTAAATTAATAGCTGTCTTTTAATATGTGGCTTCTACAAATATTAATCCCATTTTTTATATTAATAACTATTTACTATTACATTTTTGCTTTTGGGGTTTGAAATTTATGTAAACTTTGCTCACATACATATTTTACATCATCGGAACCGATGCCGTTCGAATAACGATGTATATATATCCAATAAAAAAGGAAAGTAACGTAAACTCATAAATAATTTTTCATTCAATAAATAGAGAATATTTTTCACTCTATAATGACTAGTGTATCAATTGTATAAAGCGTATATTCAATGATTTGCATTTAGATATCACAATATACATCTAAATGCTTGCAAAGACATTTTTTGACATCTCAGAAGGATTATTAACAAAATTGTTTTATATATATATATGCTTTAAGATGTTTCGATGTGTATAT